TATTTAAACTTTGATCTAGTTTAATCCATTATTGTAGGTTAGATTTGTGAGAACGATTGGCCTTTGTTATGTCTTCCCCATCATTTGCGTTGGATAAAAGATGTGCTTTAAAGAAGAGTCGTGGATAACCCTCATAATTAGTAGTTTGAAAACTTAAATGGTTATCAACTATAATGTCAAATTGGAGGGCATTGGAAAATAAAAGATAATAATGGATAAAAAATTAAAGACTTAAAAAACCTTTAAATTAGTTCACTAATAAACTATAAGGTTGTCATGGCAAGTAGTCGGGATGGCATTGAAATGAGTGGGCTAAGGAGTACATGAAAAAATCAGTTGAATAAGAAAAGCAAATCCTAATCTCAGAGTAAATCCTATAATAAGTTCAAACCAACCCACCTCAATATTTTCCTCGCCATATTTCTCGATTGCTGCTTCTTCAGAAAGACCAACAGCTCCATATTCAAGGGGAGTGAATACGGTTGTTGCCACATTGGTATAATCCGTCTATTATTAAAGAGGAGATTTTCAGCTTTTTTTAAAGCTACTTTATATAAAATTATTTAAAACCACTTAATAAAAAAAACAAATTAAATGATGAAAGATTAAGATTATTTTAGTCATTCACGAAGGAGGTGTGGATGCATTATTTTCCATTTATCCTAGAGTGAGAGTCGGTGTGGCTTTGGATTTTAATTTATGAGCATCGTGAATCATATATAAAGAATCTCTTCGTTCACAATTGTTAGGCTCCTTTCATTGAGAATGAAAGTGTGGCTAAAAGATTTGTAAGTAGATCCCACCATAAGATAATAGAGGATTCCTCAATCGAGTACTGGCTAGCGTTAATCGAGTGTTCTGGTAAGTGCTGAACTAGAGGCAATCTTTTTCAGTTCCGATGAAGGCATTCTGCTATATGGCAGAGATCAGAGTAATCATTCCAGGTTGCGTTATAAAATATTAATGTATTATTCCTATTACATATATGTATATATCCCATATGAGGAATAGTGATTTGGTTTATTCATTTATTATGCCGATTAAGAAAAAATGTGCGTATATATGCTTGTCTGTTCATGTGTTAATTTAATTCTAATCGAGCCAGGAGGGTGCTAATTTAAGTAATGTTTTTCAAGCCAATCTGGCACATCATTTACCAGGTCTCAATCCAATATTTTTTTTTACTCATAATAGCTGATTTTATATAGGCCTTTGCCTTGTAAATATGGTTGCATAAGAAGTTAAGAATCAAGCAAGCACATTATGGTCTCCTACATACATGCCTAGCTAGAAAAAGAAATCATGTAAACTAAGCTTTTCATGCAATCGAATATTAAAATAATCACCCATTGGTTCAGTTTTAAGATTACTTCTTCTATAAGGCGTTCCTCCATTTTTTAAATGTAATTATTCGCCAAAAATAGAAGCTAACAAGATATTAATGAAGGTTCCTTTTAGTTCCTTTAGAAGGAAAACTGAGCCAAGAGGTCGATATGCATTTATATCATATCAAAACTAATCAAAGGGTCATCATCATTAGTTATTTCACAACTTAATACGAATTCCCTAATGAATATATGCAATATTTAGCAGCATTCCTCAAGTTCTCGCATAAGAATAGCGAAATTGTACACACCACATCTCCGTTATTATTAAAACTCAATCTCGTAGAATACCTTTGGAAGAGCGCAAGCTAAAGATGCCCTAGCATTCCATTGAGAAGTAATTCTACACTTCCCTATTTTCTCCATTCCGTCTTTAAATCGAATGTAATACTTTTACCTCTCCTCGGTAAAGGATAAAAAAGAATGTAAAGAAATGGTTTCATTTCAACTCGAATAATAAATAAAAATAGGCACCCTCATCACCTTAAACGAAATTGGGAGAATATATCTCATATTAATAAAATTAAGTAGGAATTATTAATAACCATATAATACAAGTATATATTCAGTGCCATACCAACTCCGAACCACATGCATATAGTCTTCTGGCGAGCAATTTTCCAGCCTGAATTGCGACAGGAGTCAATTGAAGCTTGCCAGAAACGATGTCGCCAATCGCGAAAATATTATCGACGCTGGTCTGTTCATCATCTTTGCAGATTACACGGCCAGTACTGAAACAGAGTTTTTTTAAAGCGTAAAATATAAAATTCAAAATAGTATAATGTAAATGCAAATAAACAATAAACAAACTGGGTATCAAAGAATTCCTTAGTGATATATTGTGACATGACTTTCCATTTCGAAGGAAAAGTAGTGTGCGAAGAAGTCCACCGCTAGGGTTGTAGCCAGCAAATTATTCTATTGATTTAATATATTTTTGCTCTATTTCGTAAAGTATAGATTATGTGTGTGATTATGTTTGGGCCACTAGACGAAATATTAGCACAGGTTCATCTGGGTCGCAGAACGGTGAGCCTAGGACTTCTTCGGACTCATAGGCGTTAACGACTGCGATATGGGCAAAGCATCCGGAAATTGACAAAATCTTCCGTCCGGTGCTAGAATGTATCATACCTACCATAGCAAAGGCGATAAACGAGGTATGCTCTACGAGATCTCTCTGAAATAGAGCCAGTTACCAAAACAAAGTTAGGTCAATTGTATATAGCGAAAGGATACTGCGAACAAAATAGAAGCCACATCATCCTGGTCTTGACCTCTTCAATTAAAGTACCTTTAAAGTTGGTGATGGAATCATATTGGCTAGTCAGTAGAGATGGGCCCGAAATTCTGATTTAGTGGTTGTGAATTCATTTCAAATCGGAGAACATTCGAATATTTCAAAAGGCAAAATAATTACCAAGGCCCGGAGGAAAGGTCCTTCTACTTCAGTTAAGTATTATAATGAGCAAATTTCAAGGATAAATAGTGCAGAGGTTTCATTATTTATTTGAAATGTGCAAGAAGCTAAAAAATCCTAAACCATACATATACAAGCCGGGTGGGTTAGGCGATAATAAAGAAGCCTTCCAAAATAAATGCATTACAAAAACAAAAGTACCAAAAGGCTGTTAATACTCACTTGTCTTTTTTTATGCCTAAGGCATCCAGGTTAAGGGACTCAGTGCAGGCATCACGACCAATTGCAAGGATCACCTAGAAAATACAATATATCCAAAGGATGGCACATAAGGTAGAGTTAAATAAGAAATATAGGGGAGGTATTCAAGAGTTGAGGTGGGAAGTACTATGAGATTGTGCAGTGCTATTAGCACTGGCAATACTTATAGTGCGGATTCAATTACCTTTTTTATAAATATGTCGATTAGATGGATCACACCATAACAATGGAGTAAAATTTTGAGACACAAAGAAAAGTTGGGCTGCGAGGAGGCTCTTGGCTTATAATTGATGGGCCCACTAGCACTTCGAATGAAAATGAATGGTGACGAGACACCAACAGAAGACGACGGAAAATTTTTCTTGGCTAGATCATTGGACTAACTGGCACGATATCACTGGGAGAGGAGATTGCTTCGGGGATGGCATCAACGAGAATGTCCCAGTATGGTAAATCGACAGCTAGCTATGAGAAATCTGCCATCGTCTTTTGGTAGATTCAACCTTCGAAACTTTTTGTCTAAACTATCACCCGAAATAGAAGTGAGTTCAATAACACTTTGAGATGGTGCCAAGAAACAATTTGGGACTAGAGTTCGTGGAAAATAACGTCAAAAACGCGATTGCTAAAACTTTACAAGTGAAGAAATGGGTCTAGATCTTCAGGAATTTCTAGTTTCCACCCAAAATAAATATTACTTGGAATGGCCCTGAGATAAGTTTTTTGGCAAAGATTAATAAGTGATAATGGTAATATCTTCTTAAGTATTATTTATGCAAAAATCGAATTCATGAATGAGAAGAAGAACAAGCAACTATCATGAGACTCTTAAAAATAGATTGTTCAGAAAGAAATACCAAAAAGCGTGTACATTTTTAAAGTCTCATAATAATTACATACTTAAAATATGTATACGCCGGGATATGATTATAAAAAACCCAAGACTAAAGGATACTAATTTATGAGAAGATAAACTGTGTCAACGAACTCGGGTGCTTCTTTGAAACGGGTGTCCAGAGGAAAAACACAACGAAATAAACCGGTCACAGGGAGCAGATGACAGGAAGGGGATGATGAAAGCAAGACAAGAGACAGGAGAAAATGATTGATTGATTGAACTGGCTCGGAAGCCACCGTCACTAATAGGGAAATGAAGCATTTGTACGATCTTAAAGAACCACCACTAGATAGAAAAGTAAACTAAATGGAGTGCTCTGAAGTTAACTGTATCAACTGCAAGGAGTGTGAGCGAATGTAATCTGAAGAGACGGGAAGGGTGAGAAACGCAAGTATTAAATGACGCCAGTGACTGTAGAATCATGAACACAGAAAGATAAAAGATAACAGAACAAATTTGACCGAGTGGCCGCAACATTGGCTGGAATGCAATGGAAAGATCGGCCTCATACG